GATGTTGGCATCCAAAGGTAGCTGAACCTACTAATTAAAGACCCGTTCGTCTGATTTAGGTGAATAAGTGTCTCAGATCCAGGCTGTTTTCACAGCAAATCCTTTGTTTTGTTTTTATTTATTTAATCTTTCTACTTTTGTAAATCCAAATCCTAAAACAACACTCAAATTAGGATCTTGGGGGGATCCTTCAAGGGAAACAGTCTGATTGATCTTGCATCTCGCTAGCACGTAAATGTTGTGGTACTGTGCCAGTTTTCAGGGTCTAAGAGAAAAATGAAATTAACCTCCCCAAAATGTTCACTTAATGCATTTGTACTGCTACAGCGTGGCACAATAGGGGCAGAAAACACAGGCAGAATTAATGAATGACGACAAAAAATCTGAGGATTACAGGGTAGAGGACAACATTTTTGTTCGGGCTGGGAGAGAGGTTGGCAAGTTCTTACACTTTGGCTTGGCAGTACTTGCTTTTCCACCGTCTGGAAACAGAAAGCCCCCGAACCCCTAAAGCACAGTTTGTGGTGGTTATTCAACAGCCAGGGGCAGAGCATCATTTTCAAGCACAAACAGGCTTTGATTGCACCAGCTGCAGTGCCAAACACAGCGTGTGCCCACCCCTCTCGGAAAGAGGACCCGGTAGCTGCGCAGTAATCCAGTGGTGCTTGCGAAGGTGACAGGGCAGGGGCGGAGCCAAGCGGATGACAAACAACGTCCATGGCACGAATCGCTTGGCGTGTTGCTCCGCGTTGGGCTCCAGTTCAATGCCATTTCGTTGCCTCGTCATTTCGTTGCAGCCTGAATAAACTCCTTACCCTGTCATTTAGCTTCAGAGAAATACTATGAGCTGATTCAACCTAGCAGGCAGAACAGGGCTTTTCTAAAGGGAGGTCACAACAGTTCAGTTATTATCATCACACTTGAGAAAATATTGTTTATTGCAAATGTTGAGTGACTTCTGGATAATGTAGGGATGCAGTTTCCCTGTTGTGTTAGAGTTTACATTAAATCTGGCTATGCTTCTTCCTACATTGTTTTTAAGGGAGAAATTAGTGCATATAAGCTTGAGACTACAATATCAATTTGCAGGACTTAAAATGCAATATCTACATGAGTGGCATTCCTAGACCATTTCTTTGCATTTTTAACAAATGCAGAGGTGTTTAACTATTGTTAAATCAGAACTGAGATTTACTAAAGAACACAGCCATTTATCTAAAGATATTATTGAGCTGGCAGGGTAAATGCAATTTCAGTACAAACCTATAAAACAGGCCACTGAAACAGTAATAGAGGCAGATCTTCTGTTTTCTAGGAGATACGATGAAGCCATACAAGAAGTAAAGCTGAGATTCTGGAAAGCTAGATTGTCACAGATTAATATTACCTTCAGATATCTCATCAGTCCCAACTGCTACATACCTTAGCGCCGTTAGCAGGGGCTGATCACAGAACACGGATCCATAAATATGCATTTAGGTAAAAGGGCTCCCACAGCTAGGATGCGCAATATGACTGATTCTCAACTGAACGTGCAGCAGAATCAAATGACTTTTCAAGTCTTCAAAGTACAGAATGAGGAGAAACAGTAAAAGTAATATAACTATAATAATGAAATAGTACTCAGCTATATACATGTAATAAAGTTATGTGATTATTACGTAATTATAAATGTAACTAGGACGCAGTAAAAAGGCCTTCTCTAGACAGATCGCTAGAAACACTTGGTACAGATATATATATATATCACTGCTTAAATGATCGAATACAGAGCAAAGGAGATTTGTCCTGGCGCGAGGGCTGGCAGAAATTAATAAAAAGGTAGTGAAAAGCGCGCATCTGACAATTTTACATTTTACACCGAAAAATCACGTCTAACTCCACGCCGCCGAATCAGATGGGGGAAGAAACGGACCGATTTGAGAATCGGTTCCTCTTTTTCTTTTCGGAAGGAGGCCCATTTGCCCCCTGTTCACATTTAACATGATCCCGAGACATCGCGTCTTCTCGGCGTTTCGACCCCCCAGTTGCTTGTTAAAAACTGGATCGTCCAGACAGCCGAGCTCTCTGCTGTTGGGGGGACTACAGTTAATTTGAAATGAGGTTTTTTTTTTTCCTTTCCCTGAAAGGTCCAACTTAAGCCGCCTGCATCTCCAGGCCACTCTCCCAGACCCGCACTGATCCAGCAGTGCAGAGTCTTATCAGCGGCAGCAGGGCTGGGTGCGGATTAAAAGCAAAATTTCAACCCACCTGTCGCTTACAAATCACAAAACTCACTTCTCGCCGCGAGATGCTGGTTTCTCTCCTAGTCAGCAGCAAGACCTTTGTCAGAGACCGGCCTTACAAACGGCGATTACCTGGGCGGTCAAATGCGTCTGATTATTGAATCCGAGTTTAGATGTAGCTTTTGCGCGTGATCTTCCAGAGAAGATTTGGATTGTCTAAAAATAAAACGCCAATATAGTCGAAACGGAAGCCTCCAAAAGAAACGAGATTTTTCCCCATCACAGAATTTTCTGACATGTCCCCTTCACCGGCCCTCATTCGCCAGTTTCTGTCCATTAACTCTCACAACTAGTCGAAGGTGTTACAGACACCCACATCTCCAGGCGGAAATGCATCAGCTGTAACCACCAGCAGCATTTAGCACACCCCGACCATTTTGGGCATGCACATTTCATTTCTGTCCCTTCCGGGATTCGACCCGCATCTGTCTCTGGGACTCAGAGCACAAGTAGACGTGTCACTGTGGACAACTTCCCCTACTCGAAAGGGCGGGTCCCCTTCCGGAATAAGAATTAAGCAGTCGGGATTTCAGGGGGAGGTGACGTCACTGCTGTCACCTGCTCAACGCGGGAGACCTGTTACCCGTGGCGAGAGTATGAAACGCGCCACAGACCTCGACCACCTCCCAAACCGCTGTCCCACGGGAAGAGGTCGAATCAACCCGTCACTAGAACCGAGTCCCTTCCGAAACTGGCCGAAACCTCCCGAGCTCAAGGTCCAAAACATTCTGCCAAAAACGAGGCTTTATTTCAGAAGCGCTTTAAAGTTAGCGCACGTATTTACGATTTTTTTTTAATTGAACACAATTTATAAGAGGAAGAGATTAGTAACCCCAAGCTCAGGAACTTAGTGAAGTGGTCTTGGTCGCAGGAGGTCAGAGTGGTTTTCGCGCTGTGGTTTCAAGACGTGAAAAGCCGGCAATTCAGTTTAGGAGTAGGAAATAGCCCTGTATAAACGCGTAATAGGCCACAACCACAAAAATGCATCTACACAGTGCTTTTGTAGTCTGGTTAATATCATATAAAAAGGAATTATTAAAAAAATAACGAATTCTGGGTTCTAAAAAAGCAGGTTTCGCATCCTGTTGACTGACACGTGAGCAGGAAACACAAACCTTTTGTTGCCAAGGCATAGACTTGGGCTGAGGGCTGTTCTTTTTAGGCGCGTTTTTAGTTCGAATGATTTAACGAGGCTGGTCAGACGAACGAAATCGAAGGAGAGAGAAGGCTTTTGTAGCTGTTTGCTTCTGTTAACGGTCTTGCCTGGGGAACGTGAAGTGAAAAGCTTTATCACGCGAAACCCCCTTTTAAATGTGCCTTCGGGCGATCCTGTTTCCCTGGCTGAAAGTAAAACCACTGAAACTCAGCTCAACACTCGGATTAAACAGAACGGAGCTGTGCTTAGCGTTCTTTAAGCAAAGGGTTTTTATCATCATCATCATCATCATCATCATCAACGAGACCCCCCAGTTAGCGAATACAAATCACCGACTGCTAACTTGATCCGCATTTTAGTTTTTTTAAAGTGAAGCGTGAAATCTGAACTCGAATCTGCGAGGAAAGCACTTGGGGTCACCTTAGGCTCTCGACTGTTTGGAGTTGAATTCGTCCCTGACATTGCTCGGAAATCACTGGAAATTCGCGACGATCGCTTAAGGTTCAACAGACTGATCGATCTCGGCAAGATCACGTCTGTTGCGCTTCTTGTACTAAAAGAAGCGAGGGCGTTGCGACCATTTTATTTTGTAGCTTCCATTCGCTGTTTGCTGTTGGAAAGAATGCCAGGCAGTGTTAAAGACGCCTATAATATTATCAAATAAAACAAGTTCCAAAGACGTCTCAAGTTAAAGGTTACCATCCTGTAACTGGATATAAATTAGCTTGAATTTAAGCGATAAACCAGACTTCTACTGTATAAGCTTACAAATATATTACAAAATGTTTGAGAGGATATCGTACCAGGCGGAAATTTACTTTCTAGAGGCGAGAATGTTTTTTTTCCCCCAGACCGAACACTATTACAATATCTGGAAGTTTATGTTTTGCAGCATTTTGGAATTGGTGATAGGGGTGCATGTCCCGGTTTTGAAGGTTACTGAACCAAAATTAAAAACACGGGTTTACAAAGAGAAATCAGTAGGATGTGACATTTTGAGTAGAAGGGATCCACAGTGCTGACGAGCACATTGACATTGACACCCTGGAGTTCAAATAAAAAAGAAGTTCCGCAGTAGTAGAAAAGTTTAGTTTAATACTGCAGCGAACGCCCTAATTAAGGAAAAGGGATGTGTACATTTTAAGTCAGCAATCACTGAATTTTGTAAAAAGCAGGACGAAAAATATTGATACTATACACAGAACCTATGTGTGTTTCGCATATTTCTAATACTTTATAGTACACTAGTCTAACAGCAATTCGAATTTAAATTAGAATCTCCAAACCCAGGTAGCAGTCTCCCCATGTTTGCCACCCTCTAGGTGTCACCCCCAAGAGCCCAGGTTCTATCAGGTGTTTGGGCCTCCTCCATATTTGTGCACAGTGTTGTGTCCCATTCATTGGGGGGGGGGGTACGTATTTTAATGTGAGCGCTGTATTGACCGGACTCCACAAAAATAAAACACTATAGAAATTATGGTCAGAGTGTAGAAAAGAAGCCGTTTCCCCCCCGTTTAATGTTTCAGTCGTGTAATATGATGTTTGCTTCTTGTCCCTAGGCTCTGGACCTCAGAGTGTCAGCCGTGGATGCTGAGGTGGTATAAAGAAGAGGGTAGCCTAAGGGGTTGGTTGTTATCTTTGGTTATCTAGCTGTATGAGTGGTGTACATTCTTCATAAAGCTAGATAACCGAAAGTAACAAGAATCCCATTACACTCCTGAGAGATTAAGATGCTGACAATGGCTGGCCTTGAAGGCACGAAACTACATCGGCAGCAGAAGGAAGAAGAACACACCCACTTGGAGCAAAGTGCCCAGGACAGACCCCTAGAGCCCCAACAGGTAAGTCGTGGTGAAGAAGTCAGGCTAACCGTGCTGACATTCAGGTCCCTGTCATTGCTGTTGTCATGCACAAGAAGATGCCATGTCATGCTCTTTATGCCAAGGTTATACCAGGTGTTTGTGGCTGCTCCATATTTGTGCATGGTGTTGTGTCCGGTCCGATGGAGGAGCCAATTGATTTTTCTGTGACCGGGCTCTGTATGTACTGAATTCCACAAGATCTCCACAGAATTAGGGGCACCTGATTAAAAAAAGAATCGGATCACTTTTTGTTTGGCATCAACATGCCTGAACAAACAGCTCGTCCTGGGATATTAAAAATGCTGTGCACGGGTTCCTGAGAGTGACACCACATGAGATCGCAACAACATGAAGGTGCGCTCTACAGTCCAGTCTGTTTTAAAGGCCTGATCTAACTGAGGGTTGTGAGGGAGCCGGAGTCTACCCCGGCAAGTTTTGGGCACAAGGCAGGGTACACCCTGGACGGGACACCAGTCCATCTCGGGGCACACACAGAAACAGAAACAGGGCCGATTTTCCCAGAAGCCAATCATCCTGCCAGTATGTTGTTGGACTGTGGGAGGAAATTCATGTCAATGGTGGAGTCCTGCACTGAGAAGATGAAAGTCCCCACCCCCCACCATAAAAAAATAAGTAAAACTAATAAACACTGAGCAACAGCGGAGGGCGGTTCACAGTACAGAAGCACATCTTTGTGTGGGGTGGCAGTGCTTGGCCGGCGTGTTGCTTCTCCATAAGAGGAAACGCAAGCAGAAAAAAGCCTCCCTTATACTCCCTGCCTTGAAATGGCGTGAGTCGGGATTAAGATACAAAAGCCCTGCCCGAGTCTTTCCTTTAGTGTCTGTCTGGAGGGACAGGGAACGAGAGAGAAGGAAGGAGGGGGGGGGGAATTGGCTTGGCTTTTCTGTAGTAAGCAAGCAGCTTTAGCCCCCCCCGATTGTCAACTAGAAAAACAGCTATTGTAGCCCTCGCCCTCCCCCTTCCACTTCCCAGATCCCCTTCTCTCCCAGTCAACTGTACAGTCAATAGAGCCGGGGCACTTGTCACGCGGAGACAATGGGCGCCACTGCCAACCTTTCACCAAGCCCGCGGCGGATCAGCCAGACGCCTTTTCCAAAACCCACACAGCTTCTTGGCCCTCCTCGCCGAGCCTGAAAGAATGGGCTCGCTGTGGGCCTCCCCCCGTGAGAGAGAGAGAGAGAGAGAGCCCCGATCCCCCTCCCCGCCGCTCCGAGAGGAATGAATATATTACAGGAAGGAGAGGGGGGGGGGGGGAGGGGAGAGTACTGCAAGGCAGCGGGTGCACAGGTGGGGGGGGTGACACGGGTTTCACTTTTTAGTAACAGGTGTGCTGAGATAACAATGCACCAGGGCAAAGAAGCGGGGGATTTGCATTGTGTAGGGAAGAACTGGACGACCTCACTTGTAGTCAAGGGGGGCCCAGCATTGATCCCGCCCCCCAACAAAGAAATGCAAAGCCGCCTTCCTGACCGCATCACAAGAACCGACAGTCCCACAATATTTTGTTGTTTCCAGGGGAAATGAAGTTCCAGATGTTTAGAACAGGGAGACGGGGGTTCAGCTGCTTCAGTGAGGGAAAGGGGATTAGAATGCAGGATGACTACGGTCTGGATCCGTCTGGTGAGACAGTGTTCTGGGGCTGGAGGTGTCGGCATGTGAAGCATATTGTATTGGTAATTAATACCAATGGGGCAAAGGGCTATAGTGAGGACAGTTCAGCTATGTTTAAAGATGCAATAACACAGGTCTACCCCATATCAATTCAGGACCTGGGATGCTGCAAACTCCACATGGGTATGTTCTCCCCATGTTCATGAGGGTTTCCCCCACAATCCAAAGACATAGTAGTAGGTGAACTGGCTTCTGGGAAAACTGGCCCTGGCGTGAGTGTGTCTGTCTGTCTGCACTGTGATGGACTGGCGTCCCATCCAGGCGACTCTCTACTGGATAAAATGGTTAGAAAATGAATGAATGAATGGATGTAGGTCTGCAGCCTAATATCTTCTTAAAGTGATCTTTCGATTTCTCCTCTTCGGTAGGAAAGAAATCCTTCTGCCCTCTTTATCTATAGCGAAGGGCTTGGATAAGCCGATTTTGATGTGGTTTTTGAGATCTGGAATACCTGCTGCTGGGCTTAACAATCAGGGGATAGAATCTGTCACCTGTACAGAGGCACAGCCTGGAGGTTAAGAAACCAGGGAGATAGCTCACATCCAAAAAATACCTGTAAAGTCCCGTGCATGCTTCTTCCTTCCTCTTTAATTTATATCTGAACCAGGTTACAGATAAATAAGCAAAAACAAAAGGCAGTAAAAAAAAACTAGAAAGTCCAATCGCAGAGTGAAAAGGAAATCGGAGAGGGTTAGGCTCCCCTCCCCCTCCTTCTCGCCCTCTCTTTCTCAGTCTGTCATCCACAAACCCTTAGCGTAAGCTTTTTTGAAAAAAAACAACAAAAATTGGCCTGTGCCATTAATGTCGCTGGCACGACAAGAGGCCAATTTGCATAAGGCACTTTTCCAACCCGGATTTTAAGTGGCCTCGAGACGACAAAAAAAAAAGTCCACTTGAGAGGCAACGCGGAGGGGGTGTGTGTGTGGTGTGTGTGTGGGGGGGGGGATATGTCAAGTGCCAATTAGCGAAGGTTTGTCACCATTCAATGCACCACCGCCATACCACCCCACCCCCTCCACCCCACTTCCACACCTTCAACCCTCTCTCACCCACTCCATGCCTGGTCTCACCCCCTCCCCCAAAACAAAGAGAGATTCTTTCTCTTGCCTGTTAGCTGAGGATCTGTTCTCAGAGGGCAGAGGGCACCAGCGAAAGTGGTGCCTCCCTCTCTCCTTCCACCTCTTTCTCTCTCTCTCGCAAGCAGCGCATAGTGAGTTTCCGCACCGAATCAAGTGCACTCAGGGCTGGGGGCTTGTCTTTGACAGGTGTGAGCTTGGAGCACTTATAGAGGTGCTCCTGAACCACCCCCCTGCACACACGCACACACACCACCTCCTCCACGACCCCTGTGGTTTTATTTACCAAGTGGCACACAGTCGTATCCAGGACCAGAAAATATAATCACAGCAGCCCCAAAAATGATCTCACCCAGGACAGCTCCTCCATCGCTGTCCGTTTAGTTGGAGTGATATGTCGTGCTCCATTGAATATCTGTATTTTCCTGCCATTTCCTGTTTTTCCAAGAGGATCAGCGCGGTTCTGCGGGAGGTGCCATCAACACAGCGCTCTCTCCTCTCCCTGGCTCATTTAGGCTTCCCAGTCAATAGTGCAGCTGCCGTAGAGATACCTCTGAGTTGCTTTGCAGGAAGTGAATGGGGGGAAATACATCACTGCTACACCTGCCTAAATGTGCATGGCTTCACCAGTGGAGCTCTATGCGACAGCAATATGCTTCCCCTCATGCACTTCCTGGAAGCAGGTTTGCCAGGAAGCAGCTAGTTAAACAGTACAGGGAACCAGAATCTAAGAATTTTACAGCACATGTGTAATAGGATATGTAGAGTTCTTTGTAATAATATATGATTAAGCAATGAGAATTAAGCACATAATCACAAATTTATAATTACATACATTACAGTAATATGCAGTGACTATTTTTAAGGTAGCTGGACCCTATAACTATCAAAGACCATTTTTTACAGTTTAAAATTGTATGCATAATTGTATACAAATCATAATAATAACAATGTATATAAATGAACAGTACATCTCAGAAAATAAAAATAAAGACTGAAACCGGAAACGTGCTGTACACACAAACATCTTTTTTCAAATTTGAACGTTGAATGTCTCTCCATTTAACACAGCTGAATGAGCACTTTTTTCCAAAGCAATCATCGGACAAAAATGATTTTCTAAATCATTTAAACATCGCGTGGAGCTCAAACACTATTTTTCCATGTACATACACAGCTACTTGGCCTTTCTGTGTCAATGAGATTTGGGCCTTGTCTTGTTTTTTGTATATATACAAATGGTAATATATACGTATTATTCTTTCATACGTAGAATATAATTTTCCCTCTTTACTTTTATTTTACATTAATTCACCCCAAAAAATGTGACCTGCAGTAATCAACTGTTTCATTACAATAATGCACAGTTGTTCAGGCATAGGCTTTTTTGGAGATTATGAGACAATAAGACACGAGGAGTATTCAATTTTCGTTAGGGTTATTTTATTAATTGCATTTCCACTGTTTCAAAGGTGTAGGAGGGGAAAAGTAGAGAATTATTACTGTTCCTCCTCACTGTTATCACATTTAATTATTTTAATGCTACACATTTCATTTCCATTAATTTCCGAAGGGAGCATGAACTGTATATTTACAGTAATGTTTTAGAATACAGATCTTTTAATTTTTTGTGTGTGAAAGGAGATTCGGCCATGCACACTGTAAACTGGTAATGTGATTGAACTGAATGCCCTTTTGTGTCATAAGGTGGTGCAGGCACCTTAGCTGAAGCTCCACAGGACTATGAAAGCAGAGGAGATTTGATTTAGAAGCTGTTTATTGGCGTTACGTTTAAATCACACTTAGCTTGTCTAGAGCATCTTCCACTGAGATTAGCAGTGTGATAAATCTGAAACTTCGCCACCAAACCTCTGGTGCATCTGGTGCAGCTGGCTCTGAAAGAGAACCCGTGCTTTTGAGAAAATTAGTACAGCTCAAAAACTTCACAATCGCTGCAAAGACGGGAATACAGATGTGTTTTTTTGATGTGGGTGGTTACATCAGCCTTCAAATAAATCCCTAAGAGTCAAGTGTCCGAGCTTCATCGATATTTCCCAAGCAGGAAAGCACTGCTTGAGCTGGAAGGGTGAAATCGGACAGTTTATCCCAGGATATTCTACCCTATCCCAGGGTTTCCTAAAATATCTCATGTTCTCCTGGACTATCCTAAGGAATCCCCGATATGCCCTGGCATCAGCGATTCATTTTACCTCTTAAGAGACCTATGGGCTTGCCCAGGGTTGACCACCACTCCTGTCATCAATGCCACCTCTCCTGCAGGAGCTCTGTGGGGCCAAAATGGCGAGTCGTCCTAATAAGCTCAGGTATCGCAGGAAAGCGCGTGGGATTCGGTAGGAAATGTCCAGAAGTGAGCCACGATGATCGCAAAACTGACAATCATGAATTAGAAGGGCAAGCGCCCCACTGCTGGTATCCAATTAAAGAAAACAGTCAAACTTCCCAGGCCAGACATCTTGGGGACACAATTCCCCACTGGCAACGAAAAGCTGGTAGTGTGCCTGATTTGTTTAAGTCCAGACTGCTCAGTCACCATGCTTCCAAACACATAACCTTCATCTCCGAAACAGACGCCCGAGAATTGTCATGATGAAGGGTGCCACAACCCTCACTTCTCCAACCTGAGAGGGTAAGGCCTCTCCCTGTTGTCTTTAGCTTAGTTTCAAGAAGGTGGTGGACTTGCTCAGGGACCTCCGTGTCGTCCTGCAGCAGATCCGACAGACAGGAAACACAATCCCTCCCCTGCAGACCAGTACTTCCCCAGTGTCTGGAGGGGAGGGAGGCAGCACAGATGATGCACGCGCAGGATGTCTTAGCTATCAGCAGCTATAGGGGGTTAATAGGCCGAAACAAACACACCGTTTTAGGGTGCGTATGCATATACACACACACATCGTTTTGCATCACGGCTTATTGAAACTGCTAGGAGAACTAAACTAAAAAAAAATAAATCCCTCTTTTGCACATTGCATCTCGGGGAGGGAGGGCCAGATCTGAGACAGCAGCTCGCGCAACCTGTCCTGTCTGACGTGTCAAGCGATAGAAAAGAATTCCACCCCCCAAGCCCCGATCCTCTCCCTGCCGGCTCTCGGCTCCTCTGTGAGGGTGGCACAGCGCTGGGAAACATCACGGGCGCTGCAGGCAGAGAGCCACAGAGCCGAGAGGCAGGGAGAAAGGGCACCGCCATATTCTGCCTGCAGCTCCAGGCTGCTGTGAGAGAGCTGGGGCAGTGTGACACTGTACAGTCCCTGGCTGCCAAACCACCCCCAAACAAAACCCCCCCCCCACAAAAAAAAAACCCCCCCCCCTCTCCCACACCCCACACACCGCTTCTCTTCTCAAAAACTCTCACACGCTATATCCACACGCTGCCCCCCCCACACACACACACACCCCCCCGGCCGCCACCCCCACCCCAACCGCCATTCTCAGACGCTGGGGTGTGATTTGCATGCATTTGCATAATGAAAGTCATTTGCATGCTCGGGGGGCAGACTGTACCATGAGAACAGACATGACATGAAAAGGCGTGTGTGTGTGTGTGTGTGTGTGTGTGTGTGTGTGTGTGTGTGTGTGTGTGTGTGTGTGTGTGTGTGTGTGGCATGTCTCTGCATGTGCGATTTGTGCTGGTTGGGTACTGCGTTTTCACCGTTGTGTTTTTTCTCTCCCCTCCCTGCTTGTGTCTTTCGCAGGCGGGCTGCCAGTCTCGTCAGGCGCAGCCCTGCAAGGGGCCGCACGCCAGCGCCTGGGTCCACCCTCCCCTTTTTCCTGAGCCTCGTCTGGCATGCCGCCGCCCCCCCCCTCCCAGAGTCACCACCTCCACGTACGGCGGCTGTGCTCACCTCCCCTCCCTCCTGAGCGACCGGCGCAGACCTGCCCGCCACCATCTTAGACAGCTGGCATGAAATGGATGCGATCTGGCACAGGTAAACCCCGCCCCCCCACAGCAGCGAGCCAGAATGTTGTCCCTTTGCCGTTTACCCCCTTAAACGTGGAAAAAGAAGCCCCTTGGCTGGTGGCCTGTGTATTGATCGTGTTTTCATAATTTCTTAATGGTCATTAAAAATCCCAGGGTGTTTCTCCCTGGCCTGTACCAATCATGGCCTCCTAATCCCCGTCTCTGAACTGGCTCCATCACTCAGCTCTCCTCCCCACTGAGAGCTGGTGTGTGGGGAGCGGACTGGCGCATCATCCAGGTGGGGCTGCACACTGGTGGTGGAGGAGATCCCCATCACCTGTAAAGCGCTTTGAGTGGAGTGTCCAGGAAAGCGCTGTATAAGTGTAAGGAATTATGAATTGTTATTATTAATTACCCGGGTTTGTTAATTTGCATAGGATGGGAGGGATGTGGTCCGTTATCTGCATGTTCAGTGTGCGCACGGACGTGTTCAGTAAATCAGTCGCTCTGGGTTTTTCACAACCCTCCACCCCCCCCCCCCCAATCTCCTTTGCCCACATTCTCCACCATCTGCCACAGATTCCACCTGCCTGGCGCTCAGCGGCTTTTAGGGAACATCTGAGCTTCAGGCTACGTCCTCTTGAACTCAGTTTGCGCTGGTCCAGATGTCATGCAGTGTGATAGGAGCGTGTGAGCAAAAGAGATTTGAGAACTTGCCATCACATTGCTACGTTCTGGAGGTATAGAGGTACCCAAGAATGAGATCCATTTGAGGGTGTTTATTGAGTCTTTAAGTATACTAACACTGGATTAACCTGCTTGGCAGGGGACCAGCAGGGATTTGAGGCATATCTGTAAATTTGCTTTCGGCTCCTAAAAGGTCAGATGGGATCTGTCATGGATATTTACCCTGTACCCACTTCAGAGTTCTAGAACTGCCCTCTTCCAGCCGTGTTGCCTGAAGTGCACTCAACTGGACCTCTGGAGTAGAAGGCACTCATTGCGGGTGTGTCTGATGCACTGTCCTTCCCACCAGTGTCTGTTCATCAGCACTGGATCAATCAGTCAGAGCTGGTTAGCCTGAAATAACAGACAGAAAGTTGAGGAGAGGCTGTATGAAGCTCTTGGAAACAGAACGCTTGGCGTCGAGTATTTCTGACACTTAGGACAGACCAAAGAAAGAAGCTAAATGAAAGATCAATTAAGCCTTTTTTTCGCGCCAGAGAGCTCTTAGAGCTGAGAAGGAATGAAAGCGCAGTATTTCTGCAGGACCAGAGCTTGGAACCCCAGCTGTACCACATTAAAAGCTCCTGTAGGCCAGTCTGCTGCAGCCACAATGCATGACTCACTGGTGCTCACTGCCGAAGACCCGACTCCTCTAACCACAGAGTACAGAGTGCTGGCCTGTGGTTAAACCATTAAACCACCCAGTGGGCAAGTGGACATGAGAGCTCTGCAGTTTTGGCATTGATAGCTGGTACCAACAATGGCCAACGGTGCTGTTGTGCACCATGATCCCTCCGTGCTCTGGTGCACATTACCACGCTTTTACCAGAGTGCCTCGCAGGAACACCTTAAAACAGATCAGCCAGCAGCTTTCGAGATGTTGGCCAAATCTTGTGCGATGGAGAAGACTCTCTGGAGGGCACAGAAACAATGAACAGAGCTTCCAGAGAATGATCATGACACATTGTTATAACATGGATTTTACCATCTAGACCACACTGGGGTGCTGCTACTTAAGATGTAACAAACTGAGAAGGTCCACACATATTTAAACCACCCACTACCAGCAATTACACCAGCTCTGAACACTGAATCATCTGTCTTCCCAGTGCCTTAGTTCCTTCATTCATCTGGTTTGAGAGAGCCATTTAACCCTGCTAAGGATACCGGCAACTTGGAGCCTATCCCAAAAACACAGAGTGCAAATCGGGACTGCTCTGTGGATGGGACAACAGTCCCTGGCAATACACTGAGTTAATTGGATATCTCCAATGAACCTAGTTGGTATGTTACTGGGAGTTTGAAATCAAACCCAGGACCCCAGAGCAGTCCTGTCCTCCATGACCCGGCTCCCACCCCCCCCAGTAATACAATTACAAACAATGAGGTGGGTCGCTCTGCAGAACATCTTTTGGATATGAGGCTATGTTTATTGCTTATTGTGTAGATTTCAAAATTATTACAAAATAAAGATAAAACTAAGTCTCTTTTTCCCCGCATTGGACAAAGTTGAAGATAAAACAATTGAAATACCTGTACAATAAGTGGGCTCCCCTGGACTCCTGTATAAAGCTAAAGATCTTTAAGATAATCATGTAAAAATTCTTTGGAAGGTGTCAGCGAACAACACCTTTAGGCACTTTGATTTGGCAAACAGTGTGTTTTACCGTATAATTGAAAGAACCAAAGGCCCTCATGTTGATGTGATACCCCCTTAGAGAGTCAGTTAAAGGCAGATGAGGTTAAAAATAATGCCGTTATCTAGAACTTTTAAAAAAGGATCCCATATGTTTATAGTACACTAGTAAACTTAACCAAAAAAAAAAAGAGAAGTTGCAAAAGACAGAAACTTTCTCAACATGTTCTTCTGACCCTAAAAGGTATACATGCAATTCAGTAAAAATAAATAAATAAATGCACCCATTACTTTCACATAGGGTCGCTGAAGAAGGAATGCGGTGCAAAACAAGGACACATTGCACAGCCCGGGCGCGCAGCGCGCTCTTGGATGCCCGCAGAGAGCAGGCAGGGCGAGCGGGAGGATCCCTCGTGTGTCGGGGGTAAAGCTCTGGGGGCCCAGCTGAAGACAAGCGGCGCATTGTTCCCTCCGCGGGCGTGTTGTGGTGTCAGCGCTGGTTATTTAGGCCAGCGAGTGAGAAGTTTAAAAACCGCTTAAGCAAAACAGCAATTAGAGCCATCTGTGGGAGATTAACTGGGCCCGTAAACAATGCGAGCCATTGTCCCGCCGCTGCGAAAAGGCTCTTTTGTCACGGCCGTTTACCGGAGCAACAGATAATACCCGCGGTCTGGCGCATACCGTAGAGCGCTGTGTGCAGGCAGCCGGGCCCATGAGTTATTGTTCCATTAGGAATGGAGAAATTCGCTTCCCCGTGCTTTCAGCCTGCAGCTGGTCTGGATATCGTTCATCACAACACCCAGGTCTCGCCACCCTCGTCACCACAGCTCGAGTAGAACTGGACCCGTTTTTTTTTAATGCTTCAGAAGACAAAGAAGTGACGGTCCATCGCTGCTGGACAGCGTTAACGGCCCGGCTGTCCATATTGCGTCTTCGTGAGCGTTAAACGTAAATCTTTTTTTTTTAAATCATATTCTATACCGTCGGATGTCGATCGCAGATCCAAGAGAGAGAAAAAACGCCGTTTATGAGTATTCTCACACAAAGAACAGGGGCCGCCGCTTTCAAGATCGCTTCGTTCCTAAAAGTTCGGTTTAATCTTGTTATTGAATCAGTTTTCTCTAAAGAGAGGGAAACCGTGGTGCTAGGAGCTTGTCTGCAGTTAACGCACTTACCCAGTCAATATAATAATAATAATAATAACAACAACTTACACTTATACAGCGCTTTTCTGGACACTCCACTCAAAGCGCTTTACAGGTGATGGGGATCCCCTCCACCACCACCAGTGTGCAGCCCCACCTGGATGATGATGATGATGATGATATCACTGCAGGTGTTAACAGTTATACATATATAAACTCTATAGAAATGTATAAACAATGACAGGAATAGAAATATACTCGTGATAAACTGGTGCTTCGAAAGAAAAGAAATATTAAAGGCCAACCTCAAAAAGCTTAAAAAAGGCTGAAAAGAAAGTTGTGCGTCAACAAATGCCTGTACAGAATTAAAAAAAAAAAATACACGCACTTTCAGAAAACCCTTCAGTACTGGATTCTCCAGGCCAGGGTGAGGAATGCAGCTCTCAAGAGCATCGTGCCCTGGACCCTGCTGACTGGGGGCCGGACTGGGCTCCTCCACTGTAGGAAAGGAATGTCATCATGCAAACATGACTGCCGCCGAAGAGGGAAAACCGCTTTGGACCTAGTCGTGCTGCAAATAAGGTCTGAAACGGGCACCTCTGCTCCATCACCACCTTCCACAGTCCCACAGTCTCACGGCACCCGT